CATGGAGGGGCAGCACCAAACAGCAGCTCGGAACGACCCGAAGGGGAAAGCCCCGAACATGTAAACTCGTGACAGCTGCACAGCACAGGATATTTCGCTCTCAACGCCAGGGCTTAGGCCATTTGGCCGAGTCAGGGCGGCACAAACGTCCTGCTGGTCGCAGCAGAAAAGGCAATGGCGGATGCATACGATCCACATCAGGCAGTGGAGCCAATGCACCCTTGAGACGACTGAGCTCGTCGGCCAGGTCGTTCCTGTAGCCAGGAATGTGTTCCACAGATGCACGTAAGCCATTCCTGCGCTGAAAATCCAGAAATGCACGAAGAACCTCGCCCAAAATTTTGACCGACGTCAGTCCTTTGGCCGATGCGAGTTCCGCGCCCGAGTTGTCGGAGCGCATCGGAAATGTAAGATGATGACGTGCCCGAGGAAGCATTTCCGATGCAATCCAGAGCAAGCAGTATTGAGCAAGCAATTCCAATGCACATATATGATGCTGCAAGGAACCGTCAATGGAAGGAAAAAGCTCCGCAACCTGAGAGGGATCCAGATGTATTGAATACCATCTGCACACACCAGAAGGCCATTGAAGATACCCGCCAAGGCCGCATTGGTCCTGATCGGCGAATGCATCAGCTTCAGCGACCAACTGTAGCATAGGTGCCTGCTTGATGTTAAAGACACATGGTGTGGTGCTCAAGATGGAATTCCAAGACTGCAGCGCCCCGATGGACGATTGTGATAGGCAACGCAGAGGATGCTCAGAGTCTTGGACTGCAACCCACAAACGTCGTTTGATGAAAGGCACTTTCCTGAGCTGAGCAAGGGAAGATACTGCAGTATTCCCCGCCCTGGTGATGCGAGCACCTTCGGGGAACGATGCATGATTCAAGGAGCGCAAGAGACGCCCAGAATCGTCACAGGCAGATAGGATTTGCGTCCAAAGCTGCGGTGACACTGCAATGATCGTACATGGAATATCCCGTAATGCCGCATAAAGGGGCTGAAGCAATGGCCGCAGCGAGCGCCAGAGACCTGTAAGCCAAAGCAAGCGACCAATGACAGATTCAAGATCCTTGACCTTAACTTTGGTTTGCTTGCACAATGAAGAAAGCTGCTCCAGGATACGATGAATTTTCTCCTCCGGGAGTTCCACCGACCATGTATCGAATGAAATTCTCCATCCAATCCAGATAATCTGTTCGTCGATGGAACACTTCGACCAGGAGATTGGAAGCTGAAGGCATAACAGCAGCATCACCCACAGGCTGAGATGTAGAGGTGCCGTGGCTTTCTGAAATGCAGCTAAGAAATCATCCACATATACCCAAAGCAAATGCTTCAGGAAAATAATGTGATGCGAGAGCCTGTGAATCGAACCCGCCAACCTGGACCAATACCAGGAGGATGCACGTGCTCCNNTAACGGCCTCGAAAGGAGAATGCAAGAAGAGCACGCTCATGCGATGCAATCTTCATTCGGCGATGTGCTTTTTTGACGTCAATGGACGCACCCACCCAGGGGTCAGAGGGCACATAGGATGGAGCACATGCCGACACATCTTCAATTCGAGGGTTCGAGATGCAGTTGGGGATGGTGGAGGACGATGTGACGCCACTGATGCTGGAGTCTACAACGAGGCGGGCAGATCTGCCTTCCGCCAGCACGAGTCCTAGCCGACCTAATGCAACCTGAGGAAACTCAGACTGAATAGCTTCAAGAGATGCATACTCAGTGATCCATTCCTCCTGCATTTCCTCCTCGAGTAAAGCCTGAACAATGTCAGGATGGCTCTCGGCGGACTGCCAAGCACCCTCACAGATATGCAATGCAGGAATGACAGGCTCCGCGTCGCGCACCGGCCAGTGCTGCGATGGCTCCAATGCAGAGCCAACACCTAGGGAAACCCCAGACTCCAACTGGTCGCAAAGGGAAACCTCAGAATCATGAAGCTGAGAAAGCAGGAACTTCAAGAGCCGAAGGCGCAAAGGTTGACCAGGTGCAATGAACAGAAGATCCTTTTGGGAGGTCAGAGGGACCTGGAAGGTATCGAAGATATCCTGCAGGAATGGAGCGACCTCAGCGGCTGACAGAGGAGGTTCTTTGGGTGCAAGTTGGAGATGTGCAGCGATGCGCAGGCACAGACCTGTATTGAAGAGCCGGTGGGACCACCGATGTCGGAGGTCATGCAGAACATCCTCGGAAGGAGGCCGAAGCCAACACGCAGCGCTGGTGGTGCCACCACCGTCCTCAACCCTGCAGGAATGCACGATCCAAGCAGGATCCGACGAAAGCAATGCACGCCACTGAGAGAATTCCCTGCAAGGGCCCAAGTCGGTAAGAAATGGAGCACACAGGCGTGCCAGAGATGCAGCCAGCTCATCCGGATACTCAGCAGTGCGCCGACTGAGGAAACCAGCACCATCGCGCTTGCCCACAAAGGACGCGTGAGTACCGGATGCATGCGTGCAAATGCAAGCAAGATCCAAGATGCAGGGCTGATTAGAGACGAACATCCAAGCTTTGGAGAAGGAGGCACCAACCATGCACGAAGCCACCTGAGCGCAAAATGGAGCCTCAGACTCGATCCAGCTCATCATGAGCGGGTCATGGAAGGTAAGAGAAGATGCCGGGTTTTCCAGGATAATCAGGCCCCCAGAAGCGCTGACACGAGAAAGCAGAAGTCGAGTGCGATCGTGTAGCAAAGCACTCTCCTGGAGCTGCGTCGAATCATCCCAGTTCAAGTCAGGACGGCCGGTAGGATGCTCAAAATCACGCAGAGGTTTCGGACCGCCTGGACGCATTCGCAAAATGCTATGCTTGGAGCAGACGGGCGCCGCCAGAGCAGCACCGACCAAACCTGAGTCAGCAATGCGGCAAAGCAGATCAAAAAATGCATCATCCAAGGTGTCGCGGGATGCATCGATGATCAAGTCCACTGGAGGAAAGCAATCACGCCTCAGGGATTGTATGGCTGAAGTAACCGGTGCACGTGCCCCCGCAAACAAATCCAAGAAAAGCCTTGGAGTGGGAGAAGGAAGATGGCAGGAGCCAAGCAAAGCACCGACCGCCTGCGAGTCATGGCTGGGCTGAGCATTGGTCGATGCAGGCGCCAAGGGAGCAGAGGCCCCGACAGTGGCCGCTGGCGAAGGAAGCAGAGCCCGTTGGGAGGGCGACAAAGGAAGCGCACGAGGCTTCAATGCATCCGGAGAATACACAAAATCCACAGGCGGCAGAGGAAATGCAAGGGCAGCCAATGAATCCCGAAGCTCAGGAAAGGAGTGAAGATGCAGCGCAGCTTGCAAGGTGTACGCCGCGATAACCACACGCAGACCCTGCGAGGGTAGAACCTCATGAGGGCAATCCCTGGCATTAAAGGAGACCGGGCCAGAAGCCACCGGGAGGTCAACGAAGGGCTCCGCCGAAGGAGCAGAGAGGTCTCCAGACACCAGGGAGACCCGCAGTTCGCCCCCCGTGAAAGCCGTGAGGGGAAGCACAACGTTGGGTGCACAAGCATTCATGCTGTCCTGATGGCGTGGAGAGTGCACACCGGAGATAATGACAAAACTGGAAAAGAAATGGTCTGGGGCGAGTGCCCGGATGAGCCTGTTGACAACACGCACAGACAATGGGTGAGAGATGCAGATCTTGCGAGCCCCCGGCTTGAACCGGAAAAAGAGACCAGCCGACACAGATTTGCCAGATTCGAACCGGTCGTCCAAGTCAGGTGACTCGCGAAGAAGAGCCTCAGCCAGGACCAAAATGTCTGAGCATGAAGGCACCGATGCATCGTCAAGGAGACGAGATGCAAGCACCTCCGCAGAAAGAGCCACAGGTGCAGCAAAATCTGGTGGGGCATCAGACCCCCCTGCAGCAACAAAAGACTCTTGCTGAGCCCCACGTCCTGATGCAGGATCTAGTCAATGCGGAGCCGAGGCGTGGTCCGCCGCACGATGTGGCTTGCCACATGGGGTGTTGTTGCCCATGAGGATGGGGCAAAGATGGGAAAATCGGCAAGACTTGTTGCGGCACTTGTCGGTATGAAACCTGATGCAAGGGCCCTTGCCCTCAACAGTGCGAGCCCAGGAATCAGGCCAAGACTTGAGGGAAACCTTAGGGGCGGTGTCCTTCTTGGATGCGGCCTTAGCCTTGGCTTTAGCCGGACGGGCCTGCTTGTGCGGTGGGGGAGGCGGCAAGGTAGGCTGTTTCCGCTTGTTGGCCCCCGATGCAGCAGGAGGCGCAGGTGGAGTCAACGGCTTCAGCCTCGGGGCCAACGCACTGTATACATCCGCACGAGCAAAAATCATCTCAGCTAACGCATCTGTGAGCGACCAACCCTGATCCGCTTGAATGGATGCAACCCCAATCCAGAGGGCGCGGTCTGCCTCAACGATCTCCTGAAGTGATGGAGGGCGCATGTTGCGATCCGAGGGCGTGGCCAATGCAATGCTGAGAAACTTCTTTGCTGCTTTCCGGAGATGCAAAAGATGGGCACCATCGTTCAAGGCAATGGCATATATGAGGAGGTCCCAGAACCGGCGCACAATCGGCTCCACGGGGCCGGATTGGGGGACCGATGCAACACACTCTTCCTCAGGCTGACCCTCTTGCAGGAGGCGAGTCAGCAATTTCGCGTCTGTCCGAGGCCGACGACGCTCAAGGAATTGCTCCTCATCTGATGCAGAAGAACGCAGCCTCCAAGGGATCCAGGAGAACCGCCCAGCATCCAGATGCTCGCGCACCACCATAAGAAATGGAGATGAAGGCATAATGTCCGCACGTACAAGTTCTGATGGATAAGCCTTCATGAATTTCTGCATCAACTCCGCTATCTCCTCCTTGGACAGCGACTTCTTCCCGGAGACAGCAGGCACAATGGAGGCGGGATTGGAGGGGCCAATCCCAGCACACTCTGATTTGCAGAGATGATACAACCGCCGAAGAGCAGCAGCATCAGCCGTGAGCAGAGGCGCAGATGGATCAGAGCCAAGAGGGCGGCCCACAATGGACACGATGAAGTGCTCGAGAGAGTCGGAGTCGGGCACAGCAAAGGCAAGCAGCGCCATTGAGTTGGAGCCTTTGTCGACCAATGTATCCAACAAACCTGCAGGAAGAGACATGTCCTCGCATCTCTTCTGAAAGTAAGCTGGGTCATCGTGACGAGGGGGAGCCGCCATGCTGCGTGAGTGACAGACCAAGCTAGGGCAAGGGTGACCTGCACGGTTGCAGAGAGCAAAAAAGGGCTGCGGCACAAATGAAGCAATGCAGCCACCAAGCAACACCAGGAGTGCAGAGTGCCCCTCCGGTCTGTCAGCAAGAAGCAAGTGATGCAAATGATGGCAGACTGAAGCAACCCTTTGTGCGCCCATGCAGCTGGCCTCAATCCAGAGTCAGGACGTGTGAGAGGGCAAGTGCATTTAGGCAGTGAGCCCGTGAGGCCCAGATCAAGGGCCTAAGTACAGGGCTGTGGCCACACAGCGGTGCAGCTCACAATTGCCCAATGCAACAGCAAGCCAAATCTGCTGATGAGAAAAAAGCAGTACGCGATGGTTAAAGGCGATGCTGCCCCATGCAGCCTCCCAAATGGTGATCTCCTCCCGCACGAGAATGGCTCTTTCCGTGCACGTACTAAACCAGAGAATGTGGTCGAGCCGCGGAGCATGAAAATGCCTCGGACAGATGCGGAGGACAGGCCGCCAATCTGCAGCGGGAGCCTCCAGGAACAGCTCGATCTCGGACGAGAAGGATGTACTTGCCGAATCGCTGTCGTAGCTGGAGGAACTGTCCATGACAGAAGCAGAGAACACCGGAGCCAAGGCGACGTGACATGAACCTAAAAACAAAGCATGATGTCCTGTGAGCCCGCACCTGAGGCAGAAGCACGGCAGATGAGGTGGCAGGGTCATAATGTATCCAAAGGCCGAAAGCACGAGCACAAGCGTGCGCTCTTTATGCCACGATGGTAAGTGATGACCAAGTGAGCTCAGTCCAGAAGGCAGCCGCGCTTTAAGCACATGCGAAAGCCCTCAGGGACGAAGTCAGAAAATTGAAGTGACTCGACGCCACGAACACTGCAGCCTGCACGCAATGAAAGCTTGAGGTGCGGTACCTTGACCTGAAATGCTGGGTGAGACGTGCTGCACGGCTGAGCTTTATGGGCAATGTGTGATACACCATTCAGAAGAAAGAAGAATTCGTCGGCGTGTCCTTGGACATCCGTCCAATCCTCAGCCACACCAGAAGATGATGAAGCATCCTGGGGAATAGGCTCCATTGTCATGGACAAGGCTTCCGTAACGGACTCAGGCAACTCCTGAGTGGGCGGAGGCAATGGAATCGGAGAGGCCGGCCGTGGATCTTCAGCCTCCGAATCACTGGATGTGTCATGCTCAGCCGGAGGCACCGGGTTGGAGCCAACGGGCGGCATATCCGATGCGCCCGGAACACTAGGCAGGGCGACCTCAACGTCCACAGTAGGAGGGAGCCCTCCTCGCAGGCGGGGACGGCGAGGACGAAAACCTTCAAGGACGGCCCCGACCACCTGGCGCTGAAACTCCAATGGACCAGCGACGTCATCACGACCATAGAGATCCGACATGCCAGCCAATGAAGATCTGTGGTGTCCTTGCTGACGCTGCAGGTCTTCACGAATAAGAAGTTGACGCCCATAGCTTAAGAAAGTGACCTTAAGCGAGTGGACCCCCAAAAGGTCAGCCTCGGGGCGGGTCGATGCAGGTGTTTGTGAATAACACGTAGAGAAAAGCTGCCGAAGGAGTACAATGCCTTCCGACCGCGACATGGGTGCAAGAAACAATGGCTTACTAGCATCGGCTCCCAACCTGGCCAGGATGAAATCGGGTGTAAAGTTGGGATGAAGCATCGCGGTGGCTTGCAATGAGACCTGCACAAGATGCAACCATGCATGTGCCCACCCTTGAGCACCACGATGGAGAAAACCACCGGCAAGGGCCCCAAACGGCATCGCCCGCCGGGTGGTTTTCGTTTTGAGGCACACGCCCAAAAGACACTCCCCCGTGATGGATAATCGCCCTGGCGGGCACCATAATGCATCCGAGAAACGGAGGGATGCAAAAATGCAGAGCAGAAAGGCCCCTGCAATGATACGTTGCTGAGAGGAAAGGGATGAATCCAGGACCCGGCGCTCCAGAAAAATTTCAAAACTGAGGGGCAGAGGCGCACTCTCTCTGCGTTCCACAATGGAGCCAGATCTGCCGTAAGCAGACACGAGATCCGAATGCAGAGCCGAACGGAGCGAATCCAGTTGCGCCTTCCTGGAGATGAATCGCAAGGATTTTATCCATGTTGTCGCGGTTTGCAGTCGACCCCTGGAGTTAGTTGCCAAAAAATCCAGTAGAAGATCAATGGAAGGATCGTAGGGGTTGACATTGCAAGCCGATGCAAACCTGAGCCAGTGCCGCCACTTCGATAAGTAGGCGGCCAGCGTCGATGGAGCATAGGACGACACCATCTTGGCTAAATGTATATCGGCCTGCCCTGACTTCAAGACCTGAGGCAATGCAGAGCTGTGCGGTGAAGCTAAGCGCGCAAGCCGCACCCACTCCGTGACCTGCTGTTGCAATGCAAGGGAGTAGGCTTGGTGCACAGTGCCGGGAGCCCCAATGTACGGCTTAGCTGGGCAGGCCGGAGGAAAATCCTTGGAGTGCCCAGATCGCATGTCCAACTCAGCATCCGAAGAAGAAGCACACACCGCAAATGAACCCAGCAAGGGCCTTTTGGGCATGAACGGCGGGACCTCGGAGATTGGTGATGAAGGGCGCTGCCACGAGAAGCGTTTCTTGCGAGGAGGAGCCACATCCTGCTTGGATGCAACTGCAGCGCCGGGTTGGCCAAACCCGCAATGGGGTGCCTCAGTGCACCACCTGTTGCGAGGAAGCATGCAGATAACAGCCGCCAGAGTGGTACACTAACGAAGTCCACAGCGCCAATGAGTGACAACGGCACTGCATCTAATGGCAAGACCTTCAACTGGAGCCACAAGCAAGGGAAGGCAAGCAAGCGGGACCTAGAAAGCTAGCCTAGGCAATGACATGCAGCCAAGCAAGAGCACAGCCGAAAACGTGCAATGGAATCGGCGCCTGTTTTGGATACAAAAAAGGCAGGATGCAATGCATCGACTGTACCAAACAAAACTGGAGCCAATGTACAGCCCAAGGCTAGCCGCGCCGACCCTGAATGGAGGCTTCAAGGGAGTCGAGCGAGCGCACGATCGCGTCGCAACGAGATTCGAGGTGGCGCACGGCCAATGCAGAAATCCGCGGTTGGCCCATCAAAACGGTGGCCTGCTCGAGGCTGCCCGTGAAGACCTCACTGAGGTCCAGTGAAGGACGTCCTGACCCCACCGATGCAGGCCTATCGCGTTCCTGAAGCAAGTGCAGTATACGGAGCAGCAAGCCCCTGTTAAATGCACAAGACGAGCATGTATCACAGGGCGAGACGAGGCGTCTGACCGATCTCGACCTGGATCTGTCCCGCGGCGGATCATTTGATGAAGCCATAGTCGATGAAGTGATCCAGTCAGAGATATAGTCTGAGACGGCCTGAGTCGAGAGAAAAGCCCATCGACAAGGTAAAGCAGGCAGCAAGCGAGAAGCACGGCACCACAGGCCCGTCCCTGCCTCGGGAAGTGATGTACCTGAAGCAGATAAAGGCGACATGCAGCGCTGCACCACAGGCAACGAGCGCAAATGGCAAAAGTATGGCCTGCAAGAAGGTGCTGAATCACGAGGGTGTACCTGCACCAAGGCATAAGGAGCCGTGGAAGCTGGAAACCCACAATGGCCTTGACACACGAAGTGCAGGTGCAAGACCTGCAGAACCAGCGAGAGAAATGCCGGAGGCATGGCAATAGCCAACTGCACCACAGGCAGAAGGAAAAAGCCAAGTGCCACACCCCCACAGAGGCCGAAAGGCCAGGAAACCCTCGAGTCACCGGGCCCAAATGAGCCAGTCGGGAGCGGCACCAGAGACGGAGTCGGCAACGTGCTTGAAGGCAGGGAGCCACAACAAGCAAAGTGCACAAGGCATATCGGATGCAGACTTATTTACGCAAAGCGAGAGGTCCAGGCTCAATGCAACCAGGCGCCCACGGAGCCACGCAGATCCCTCACAGGAGTGCAAAGGACCAATGATGCAGAGACAGAACGCCCCCGGCCTCAAGTCTCGTCGTCGGAGCTCGAGGGAGAGATGTAGTCAGCTGGGCGTGGCTGGCACCTCGCCATGGATATGCACACCGACCTCGATGGTGCGGTCAGGCTGGCCCAATGTAGGAGGCACCGCACTAGTAGGCCGTGATGTAGGCGGAGGTGAGTCCTGATCCGAAAGCGAGGGAAGCGGCCAACGACAAGCCGACAGCTCTGCTCGACGAACTTCTTCCTCACTCGAGTCGCCGTCCATGATGTAGAAGTGGACCTGAGCAGGCAGATAATGCACACCGAAGGCAAGAACTCGCACGAGGCAAAACGCACCCAAGCGCTCAAAGGGCGAATGCCTGAACGACAGCCCGAATGGCGAAAAGGCCGGACCTGAGACTCAAAGAAAGGCTGGAGGCGCGCAAGCCCCTGCACCACAGGCAGAGACTAAGGCCCGAGCCAACGAGGGCATTGAAATGACGCGGCGGCCAAACCTGACCAGGTCCCAGAGTCCCAATGCAACAAGTGGCCACCCGCACCACAGGCGAGGTCGCCAAGGCCCGCACGTGATGAGAGCAGGGCAGCACACAAAGTGCCCGACCCGCCCGACCCCAAAGGTCTGAATCATCAAAAAAGGCGGCCGTGAATGCAGTGGTCAGGCGGCATGAATGCATGCAAGAAAATCACATCAACCAAATCACTGACTGTGCACGCACTGAATGGATGTTTTGCTGAAACTGCAGAAGGGGGCCGAAGGCCCATGCCATCTCAAACAAATGTACGAGGAAGACCTGTGCCACTGCGGCGGAGTGAGCCAAGGCACTCAAAATGCAGTGCTGTCCAAACCTCGTACGAATGAAATGCATATGCACGGTCAGTACCACGTCCACTGACCGGCCCAGGAATCCCATTCCCATCCTGACCCTTGATTAGCGCTCCAGGAAGACGATGTAGGTTGCCAGCTATCCCACAAACCGCCCGAGTCATTGGATGTATGGGGCGCAGCCGGAGCGGAAGTCGATGTACCGGACGATGTAGGATTAGACTTGCTCAGGCGGTAGCAAGTCTTGCAGCGGTGCGGCACTGATGTAGCTACGAAATGGCTATCTCTGGGTAACTCCGAAGAGTATCCGCAGAGAGCCTGCCGACACACCGTGCAGGTTTCCCTGCAACAGACCAATTGTCTGGTGCTCACGCGACATTTCACAGTCGAAAGATCTGATGAATCAATGAAAGTGGGTGGCGCCACTAGCTGGATACCTGATGTAGTACCATCTTGCGCAGTAAAGCCAGGGGGGATGGATGTAGTGCCATCATCCCCAGAGACACCAGAAGGCTGGGATGCAGATGCAGGGATGGTCTCTGATGCACCAACCGCGCCAGGTGGCGGATCAACAGTCGCCGAAGATGTAGGAGCCTCAGCCGCTGTAGGAGGAGCCTCCTGCCCTGCCGGAGTTTGGGATGCACCGGAGGGCTGAGTATCCGATGCAGTGCTAGCAGCCGTAGGTGCCTGCACTGTCGCCGTGGATGAAGAAACCTCAGCAGCCGTAGTTGAGGCATCCTGGCCAGCCGATGCAGAGGCAGCCGCAGTCGATGCACCGGCTGATCCGGACTCCTTGCCAGATGCATCCTCCCCAGGCGGTCGATGGGGAGGCTCGTGAATGGCCTTCGCGACCGCATAGAGAAGCTTCGTGCGGCCGCTCAAGGGGCCTGATCGAAGAAATGCAGCCAGTTGATTAACATCTGTATCGAAGAGCCAAATGAGTCCATCTTTCAACTCAGATGGAGCCCTGATGTTTTCTGCTAATGCAGAGCGCACGGATGTCTTGGCCGCAGGTGGAGGAGTCGCCATAGAAATGTAAGGCAAGACCTCACTGTTAGCTCCCAGAACCTGATAGATGGAAGCTAGGAGCGTAGAGGGCCCCAAATGAAAACTCAAAAGGAAAGCCGAGAGCAACACGGCTGCAGATGTAAAGTCCTGCAGCTCAGCACATGCACATGCCGATGCAATGCAGATCGCACAACGCATGCAACGTGCACAAATAAATTCGTGCAAAATGCATGAAGTGAAAAAGCATGAAATCGGCATCAAATGCATATGCAAAGTTTCAAGCACACCGGCCGGGCTAAGGCCAACCACAAATGTAGGTTTACATATACCCTTTAGAAGTGAACGCCGAATGCTGAATCTTTTCTGGGCAAGATTCAGCTACTCTCTTCCGCTCTATCATGGTTAAAGAA